TTTAAAAAGCGTCGTGACTCATTAGCATCATGTAAAAAGAGAATTTTTAAAGGTTCTTTTGGTTCCTCAAGTAACGGAAGAGACACTTTGTCATTGGAACAGCACATGCCTGCGGTCTCATCTTTCCATTTTAAAGCGCTGCAAAATCGACACGCCTTGTCCATCAGTCCGATAACAACTAACCTGTGATTTTTATAATCAATCAACGGATCATAATTGAATGCTGCGTCATTAAAAACCGACCAATTATTTCTTTGAAAATTTTGTCGACGTTCAGCTTGGAGCTGTGCATTTGCATCTCCTCGCGCCTGTGTCTGTTCTGATGTTTCAGATGCCCTTATAGTAGATTGACGTTCATCTTGCTCAATGAGTCTGTGTTGAATTTTATCAGGTGTTTTCGCGGCTCTTAAGTTGGCCTGACGTTCCGCTTGTTCGAATAGTCTTTGCTGACTTTGAGCAGGTGTTTCAGTCTTTTAGCTCTCAAAGTAGCTTGACGCTCTGCTTGTTCAAGATGCCTTTGCTGACTTTGACCAGGTGTTTCAGTAGCTCATAAAGTAGCTTGACGCTCTGCCTGTTCAAGACGCCTTCGCTAACTTTGAGAAGGTATTTCAGAAGCTCTTAAAGTAGCTTGACGCTCCTCCTGTTCAAGACGCCTTTCCTGACCTTGAAAATGTGTTTCGGAAGCTTTTAAAACAAGCCTGACGCTCTGTCTGTTCAAGACGGCATTGCTGGCATTAAGAAGGTGTCTCAGATGCTCTGTTGGCTTGTTCTTGCCTTCTCAGTCCAGCATCTTCTAAAGATTCTAGCGATCGAGCTAATCTTTTCGCTTGTCTTTGAGAAGATACTCTTGAAAGGCTGGACTTATGTTTGCGAGGCATTATGAAGTAACAAAAAAACCTATTTATAAAAAAAAACGTTAAAATACCTAAAAGCAATTAAATTTCCTTTTAAATATTTTTAAAGCAAATCCAAAATATCTAAAAGGAATAAATATTCCTTTTAAATATTTTTTTAAATCAAAACAACAAAACCAATTCAAGACACAACACGAATCCGAAAACGATAGCTAAAAAAATTGAATCAACTTAAACCAAATCATAAAACAAATCGCAGAAAACCGAAATCGAAAGCAGTAGTCAATATAAATATAACCAACGAAAAAAGAAGTAAGTGTATAGGTACCGTATACACTATCTATACTATTAATATTCCTTTGAAATATTGTTAAACAATCTAAAACAACGAAAACCAATTCACGATTCTAAATAAACAAAATCCAAAATCAAAACCAGAGTCTAAATATGTATAAAGGAATACCAACCAAATCAACAAAACCGATCCAAGAAAATACACAAATCCGAAAATGAAAGCCAATATAAATCCATTCAACCTTAACCAAATCACAAAGCCAATAACAAACAAGCGAAATCGAAAGCAGGTAGTCGAATAAACTACGAAATAGAAACAATTTAAGCGTATAGGTACCGCATGCACTATAAGTTGACGCGCGGCCCAACGGCGGGAGTTAAGTACATGTCAGGAAACATTTCGTTACCGCGTTTTAAAAACCTAGTAAAGACTTCTAGCGGAATCAATTTAAACTATGTATACGTTAGTTAATAAGAACTGTCAAAAAATATTATTCTCATAATTTTGCACAATTTTTGTTATTGTAATACCGATTCATTCATAACCACATATAAGAACTGTATTCATTTCCGTTCAATAAATATTACTAAGGCTTATTAATAAGGCTTACTGAGAACTGTTTCTACCATAGTTAAATAATAGTTAAGGGTGAAAGCGTGACAGGTGGTGATAGTATTTCTGATCCATACTTATAATCACGCCTGTAACCCTTGTGGGGTAGGCAGAGCATCAACGGATTACTTAATATCGTCTGCGAGGTTATCGCTTATTCTGTGAATTACAATGCACCAAAACGTTTGAAGAAAATCAGCTGGTGAATTTTACGTTTTTATCACTCTCTTCCCGGTCATGCGTGGAAAAATACAGATCCATACATTTTTTATCTTAATTTTGGTAAAAAGACATAATAATCCAGATATTCTGACCTTCTGTGTTCGTCCATCGTACCGTCGTCCGTCTTGTAGAATCACGGTGGCGCCACCTAGCTGAATTTAATTTTGCAACATATTCGATTTTCCCACTGAATTCCACGAAAATAGAATATTTCCCACGGGAACGGGAATGAGATGTTTTCCGCGGAAAAAAAGTAGCCTATGTCACTCTACAGCCACCGAACTATCCCCATACCAAAATTCATGCCATGCCGACGCTCTGTTGCGACGTGAAAGAAGGACAAACAAACAAACAAACACACTTTCGCATTTATATTATTAGTATGGATTATTTACAAGTAAAATATATAAATACATAAGTGCTAAGCTGAAATATTTTATTTCATTGAAAAATGAATTTCTGATGTCGCCTTGCGCCGGTTGAAATGTTTGAAATATAAAGTCTAGTAAAACAAATTGCAACACGTTCATCTAACTTTGGGAGATGTAGACAACAGTGGTCGCCTTTTAACGGGTCTAACTGAAAAAACGTGCTTGTATTGGAAAATTGAAATAAAGAGAATAGGCGAAGTAAGCATGAAGAGATTCAGAACATATCGCATATTGGAGCTAGAAGCATTAACGAGAAATCACGTGAACATCTTCGCGTGAGGACCATAGTTTCTCGATAGGTGCCGCACAACCCGACCGATGCTCAGAAGCAGGCCTGAGTTGAATGGTGTCGTGACATGATTACTAAAGAAGTAGGCTCGTCTCGGCGTGGATCTTGGATTTATCAAAATGTTTGTTTTAAAATGAACCAGTGCTTACTAAAGTGAAGCACAGAGAAGAATTGATTGCTAGTTTATTTTTTACTTTGAAGGGGTTTGGTGTCCATTCCTTTACGAAATTGTAGTAGCGTAAGTGTTCACTTTGTTAATCAACAAGTGATTAAGCTCTGTAATACCCCACCTACATAAGCCCTACCGCTTGCACCATGGCAACGCGTTCGCATATTCATCAATCAAAAAAATGGACTTCCAGGACAGCACACCAGATAAGCTTATGGGTATTCCACGTTGCAGCCGTGATTTGACACTGTGTGATTACTTTTTATTAAAAAAAACATCTGTTTTCATCGCCGGCATATGTGCTAGCAGTGTTCGAACAGGCTGCAAAGAGATATCTGAGGCAGAATGGAAAAAGTGTTTTGGGAATTGGTGACGAATAAAAATAAAAAACTGCGGTTACTAAACCGCTTGCCGAGCGTGGCAACTGTGACAAATATCGACCCTATGAATTAATCTATGGAAGAGGCCTACGTTCAACAGTGGACTTTTATAGTCTCTAATAAGATGGTTTTACCGCCATCTACCGGAAACCGTAAAGATTTATAGTCGCATCTTACATGGTAGAGCCATGCTGCAGCAATTTTATGGTTGTAGCACAGATGGATCGGCTTGATCAAGGAAGGACATCGCTCTCACAGAATATCAGCGTAAAATAGCAGCTTAAAGCTGCTGTATTTCGTATGGTGAGTATATAGAACAGAAGACCCTTTTAACTAAAACCGAGGCATTTCATCTTAGTCTTCAGGATGACAGGGCACCTGCATTTCGATTCTTAATTGAGGATAGTGTAGATTTATATAGGTCACAGCATCCACTTGCAATTACGTGCATTTTGTGCTCGTTTGCTGCCCTTATTCTAGAAAAAAAAAACGGGATGCGAAAGAGGTTATGTGTCTAAATTTGGTCCAGTAAGGTTTAAATAATAGTCAATACTTTACGTATTATTTTATTTATTTTTAACCAATTTGAAAATTTTGCCCGTTGTCACTCTTATTTGGCTTTGATAATTTTACAGGTCATTTAAAAGCGAATCATTAAAGTAATGACAAAAATAATTAATTCCTTCATAGAAATTGTTGCAAAGCAAAAATGAAAAAATTTAAAGAGACTATTACATGAGTATAAAAAATTTCTATTTTTTATCTATAGATACGCGTAACTACCGTCTAGAAGTAATTACGGGTATCTACAGATATAAACCAAATACTTAAAAAAAACCTATACCGTAACCGTTTTCCGGTTTAAGCGCCTAATTAAAGAATAAACTTACTTTAGATTTATATTTATGATGACTGTTTTTATCTTCTATCCCGCGAAGTTTGCGCAGTTTCTATAAGCTATGAGAATTGTGTTTAGCACACTTAGGTACGTAGGTATCAACGCGGGTTCCAGTTTTACAACAATGCGTGTGCTACAAAACTACACCGCGCTCCATTGGAAATTATGTAACTTGTCTAAACACACCTCGTGTAAAAGAGGATTACTAATTCTAAGAGCCTCTATAAAATCGTATCTTAAGGCGTGTTACTTTGTGATACGTCTTATTGTAATTTATTGTACACCTATTGTATGTATGATTTATCTATTCTCTACCTCAGTCTTAAAAAAAGTCATCATCATAATTAGCACAACAGGTTCCTTTAATTTTTTTTATTTGTTACTTGGATGCAAAATTATTAATTGAGCTGATTTAACATAAGTTTCGGATAAATTGTTCGATGTAAGGCAGTCCTCACTCGATACACATTGTTTTACGTTAATTATTTAATGTACTGTATTGACTGTAGCTTGTAGTATTTAAAAAAAATTACATTTAATACTATCGGTAACATAAATCCAATATCAATACTAAATTGATGCGTTGTTTTTAAGCAGAATATATGTAATAAATGGTAAAGCGACGATACTCATAAGCCTTAGGTTACAAACTTTCGTAAGTGTTATGTCCACCTAAGAGATTTGTATTTTGTAAGTCACGCGCCGTCATAATATTAGTCTGAGTAAGTCATACAATTAAATTAAATTTCTATCTTCAGTTTTCAATATAGTAATCAAAATATATCTTTATTGCAGTGTACCATTGAAGTCTGACACAAATTAATAATGCTTAAAACAATAGATGTCTTTTTCATCGACGCACTTCGTTGTCGCCGATAATTGGTGCGCTGGTTGTTGTAGTGGTGGTGGTAGTAGTTGTTGTTGTGGTGGCTGGGTCAAGACCCTTAATTTCAAAGGGTCCGCGGAACAAGGGCCGGAAAAGTCGTAAGAAGCTCTGGTAGCGCACCGCTGAATTCTGAAACACATCACAGCCCACATCCCTTTAAACTTAATTGAAATATTAAACTTTTTCGCATTGCGGATGCGAAGATGTAGTTATTATTGTTTAATTTCTCCGTGGCGCAGTGAGTTTCAGCGCTGGGGGCGGCGGGTTTGAATCCCACAAGTAACAAACATTAGTATGACCTAGAAATAATTGCTCCGGGTCTGGATTTTTTTTTTATAGAAGAGGGGGCAAACGAGCATCACCGGATGGTAAGTGCCTATCGCCGCCCATGAACAATTAAATAAAATTAAAAACCGCAGCACCAGGGGAATTGAAGATGCGTTGCCAGCCTTTTAGAAAGGAGTAAGCTCTTTTCTTGAAGGTCCTTATGTCGTATCGGTCCGTAAAAATCGCCGGTGGTAAACAATTTCACAGAGAATTTCTACGAGGAAAAAAACTCCTAGTAAAATGTACATTAGTGGACCGCAAAGCACCCAGATGGTGAGGATGGTATCAGGAATTTAACGCTATGTGCGTTCGTGAAATTTAGCGGCTGGAACTAATCCGAACAATTCCTCAGAACGCTACCCATGGTAGATACGATACGCAGTACCAGTGAATCCAGCCAATCAGAAAGAACTCGTTCATCGACGATTTGAATCGCTCTGCGCTGGATGAGGTCAAGCAGAAGGATCTTGCTGGCACTGATCTGCTGGCACTCTCTCGATCTCTGATCTGGGGCTCGGCCTGGGCCGGAGCACCCCAGTGCCAGCTGATCTGAGATACTGAGATGAGATCAATGTTCTACGTGGGGCCGAACTTGCGCTTTGTAAAGTTGGAAGCAATGTGCCGGCATGAAATACTGTCTCGCTCTGCTATGCACGCCAAGCTTTTTAGAGGCATATTTGACCTTTGCCTCCAATGACCACGAAACTGCACGTTATCCGATATGTCGACGCCGAGGATTCCCATACTGGCTGAGGCAACAAGGGGAGTGCTTTGAAACTGAGGAGATACGACAAAGGGGTTCTTTTTAGCGGTTAACGCGCAAACTTGTGTCTTCTGGGGGTTGAATTGGACTAGATTTTGTCGCCCCCAATCCGAGACTTTGCTAAGCAAAGACTCGAATTCAAACACGTGTTTGTCCCGATACTCGGCGACTCGGCGGCGAGAAGTATTGGCACAGCTGGTGTATAAGGCATGATCAGTGCTGTCATCCACATAGCAATGAAAGTTATCAGTTTGCTACATATCATTGATATGTAGAAGAAACAGCGTTGGTGACAGCTCGTAGCCTTGTGGAGCACCGGCGTTAATAGGCTTGTAATCAGAGCATGCACAGTCTACTACGACCTTGATGCTCCGATTAGCAAGAAAACTAGTGATTTAATCGCACAATTTCTTGGGAAGCCCATAGGAAGGAAGCTTTGAAAGAAGACCCGATCGAAGGCCTTCGCCATGTCCAATCTAATGGCCAATGCCTCCCCTTTGGACTCTACTGCCTCCGCCCATCTATGAGTAAGGTTGACTAGAAGATCACCAGCTGATCGACCGCGACGGAAACCGTATTGGCAGTCACTGATCAGTTGGTGATCCCCAAGGTACCTCATGAGCTGGTTTAAAATAGACTCCATTATTTTGGAGAACAAGAAGGTGATGGCGATAGGCCTGTACCTGGACGGGTGTGAGCGGCCGCTTTTTTTAGGGATCGGGTAGACCAAAGCTGTCTTCCAAGAATTGGGGACTTCGCCTTGAGAGTAAGAGTACCGGAAAAGATGCATTAAAACCGGTGCCAACTTCAGAGTACACGTCTTCAGCACAATGGGGGAGACTCCATCAGGCCCACTCGACTTGGTGACGTCCAAGGAGAAGAGTGCTTTACAAACCGACCGCTGCGTAAACCGCACATCCACCATGGAGCACTCACACCACGCGATGATCAGCGGTGCCTTCCCCCCGTCAGTGAAAGTCGAGTTGGATGCAAAGAGAGAGCCTAACAGATCGGCTTTCTCCTTTGCGGCATGTGCCAGTGAGTCGTCCTCTCTGTGCAGAAATGGAAGAGATAACTGACAGAAGTTCCCTTGGACAGCCTTGGCGAGAGACTGCACGGCTTCCCGAAGGAAGGCGAACTAGCTTATCGCCAATTCTGCCGATGTGCTCAGATCTTGCCTTGGCAATGACTCTTTTGAAGGACCTGTAGGCGGAATTGTACTTCCTTTTAAGAGCGCTGGTGTTTAAATCCCAAGACTTTGATGCGTCAGCCCAGGCCAGATAGCACTCCTGCTTATAGCGTGATGCTATTTTACAGGAGCTACCAAACCATTGCTGAGATCTGCCGCTGATTGACACCATACAGGACGGAATAAAAAGTTCCACATCGGCGACAGAATCAGCAACAACGCTAGGATCGTCCGGCGAGAAGCAAATCCACCCTCAAGGTTAGGATGCGAAAAACAACCGCATTCTATCCCAATCAGCCGACCTATAGTGCCAGACTCGGCGGCAGCCTGCAGAATGCAACCGCGCCTTAATGTGACTGGCACCACACTCGGGATACGACAATGGTCCGATGGATGTTGTCCTTGCGCAATTTTTGTTTACAAATTGCTTCCACAGCCTCCACGGATGGTAAAGTTTTGAATTATAAAAGAAGAATGAAAAATAAAGGAGAACAAATTTTATTTTTGCTGCGAAATATTCCAAATACCAACTTTTAAAAAAGCAATTGTATTCATACAAAGACTTCAATATTTAAATGTGTGTTGAATAATAAGCTTTGTGTATTATCATAAATGGTCATTACAAACCAAGGAATGCCATAAAGCTGGGTACTGAGAAACCTGCACCAATCGATCTCCTGCATCTTTTACCACGTTGTCACTCCATCTAGTGGGTAAACAGGTCAATCGACGGATCCAACTAGGCTGGGTAGCATTCATTACGACACTTTTTATCATGTATACCTCAAAACTTGAATATACAAGATTGCTAACTATAAAGATACACAAATATTATTCCCTAATTATTTTATTACATGTAATATGATGAAGTATGTTTTTTTAAACTTAAGATAATTATATTTCATGCTGCTGAGATATAAAGTTTAAGATTTTAGTTTATTGCAAAAAAAGCTGTACATTTTCTTTATAAGCCTACACAGAACATTTGCCGTAATTGCCAGGCTTTTTAGGTATATTAGCGATCGCAGCTTTAAGCTCTAAGTTCTTTTCAGGACACCGAGGGGACGAATTAGAGGGATGAACATATGTTGTTTGACGAAATATCACCAAATCTCTTAGAACTAAATTAAACAGTACAAATACAAAATGAATGTAGTAGTTTGTTCGCCGGTCCACCTTGACACCGTGTAGAGTTTGCAAAATATAACTAACGCAAACAAATGTCCTTCTAACATAAAAGTTCCGACTACTTTTAAATATTTAGTGATAATATTCACGTCAAATATTCTTACTTTTATACAAGAAAATGATATTATGTAGTTTGCAGTTTCCTAAAGTATATAAATATTATTATTGACACTTTTTATCATTTATATGTATATAATCACATACGACACATGGATCTGAGACGTGGTCCTTTATTGACAGCCGTTTATGAAAGCTCAAGGCTGCTCAGCCAATTACAAGTTAGTGCTTGATTACTGTCCCACGTGATAGTAAATGGCTACTGCAACTCCAAAAAAACTAAATAGGTGTTGTCATCTCTGAGGACCACGATAGATCGCTCACAGCCTGTGATTATAATAGGTCTTTATACCCTTCAAATCAGAACATAGCAGTACGAGCGCTGACATTTGGTGACAGAAATAGCTGAGTGGGTGCTACCCGACCAGGGGGACTCCTGAGCCTAAAAGGACTAATACCTGGTAAGAGAAAATGGATTTCAATGTATAGAGCAGGTATAAAAAAGTGCCTTGTCGCGTTTCTATATGTTTTGTGATCAGCTGTGGACTTGTGTTAGCTGTAATTATAATTATGATGATGATGATGATAAATGAATTCATGCATTGTTACAGCAAATTTTTGAAGATTATGAGTTCAATAAGGGTACGAATTGTGGATACTGTATTTCGCACTGTGAGTGACAAAAACCGGAGGTCCTTTTGTAACAAGACAGTGCATCTTAGTCATCAAGGTTGACAATGGATCTACAATTTGATTCTGAATCGAACATAAATTGATGATCAGTTAGACTGTGTGCGCTTTTGTTATCCTTACTTCTATAAATATTTTTAAAAAAACGAGGGATATTCTGTATTTCCTGACAAGTGAAAAAAATCACCTCGGTGTGAAATAAACACTGGACCACGACCAGGACATGACCCACAGGAAATCTACCATTTTGGGAGATTTCTATACCTAATGCCTAATGATAATATGTTATTCGTAATTCGAAACGAGGCATTGAATCATAGTTCTCACGGGTGACTACGCATCTGCATTTTAATTCTTAATCGAGTATAGATGTGAATATCTATGGACAACAGTGTGTGCTCGTTTGTCACCCTTATCCTATAAAAAATAGATGTTATTACGGCACTATCAATATTACTAGTAATAGTAATTTATTCAATATGTGATAAATAAGACCTCTCTCAGAATATCACAAAACACTGAGCCGCCCACACCTATCTAATACCTGTATACGTAACTAGTGTAGGGCTGTGAAGTAGGTAAAGAAATGAATATTTATGAATAACTCAAATACTTACTCGTAAATACAATTAACAAAATTAAAAATCAAACTTTACAAATTTTATTTAAACATAAAGCAAGTACAAACCTGTATTACATCGCCGATGACCTTAGTGGTGCGAATTAGGAGGGACACGGACGGTCCAAACAAATTGCCCGGGAAGTCCAGGCTGACCTTGTTCCGGTCGAACATCGGAATGTCGTCGGTAGTCGTGGCCCGCGGTATGCGGGGCAAACTGCGCGTGACTGTACCCCTCATGAGGGTTGTATTGGGTGTGTGCCGCGTACTCGTGGCCCGGCGTCTCCACGTGGTGCCATTCTGCGCACAGCCAAAAGCTCAGGCGCCGAGTCCTCGCCACACCCGACCACGCCTTGTTGTTTGTTGCCGCCTTATCGCCTCATTTGTGTGTGTTCATATGTCATATGTCACGGTACAGTTTGTTCATGTTAAGTGATATAATTTGTGTAAAAAGTGCATTCATCAAATATCACAATTATATAATAATCGTTTTGTTTTTGTATACTTTGTATTAGTTACGACCACGTTGAAATCTGTCAGGTACTTTGTATTAGTTTTTCTATACTAAACAATTTCTGCTGTTCTTTAAGGTGCTCCGTATTTAAAACCTAAACTTTTATTTTATCTAAATTACTGATAATTTTCTATCCTACTGTTCTGATATTTGCAAATACTGTTCGATTACTGTTTTATTATTTTAAATTTATAAAATTATAATAGGGCATAATAAATTAAAATTACAAATTGTGATAATTCGTTTACTCTTTATAATATGAGCACTTTTCTTAATCTAAATAATTTTGATTCGTCGCTGCCACATTTATCTTTACTTGAACAGGATATCACAAGGAAGTGGCTCTCAGGGAGTTAAATTTTAAACTACTACTACTGTACCGTGTTGACGAAAATTAAGTGTTGTCAACGTGAGTGCGAGTGTGCGTGTCCCGCGCAACGCTACGGCGTAGCGCGGGACTACGTATCTACGTGCTGGCGGGCCGGGCTACACAATTATATTAAACTATGGTCTATCTAATCTATATTTGTGCATCAAAAATAACATTAACATAATGGCATAGGTGCATAAATAGTTTAAAGAGCATGCACATTCACTAGTAATAAAAATGTAAAAAAAATCTTAATGTTTTTACTAGTGCACAAAATTTCTTATTAAAATAGTGATATTTACAAAATTATTTAAAAATGAACAATTTAATTTGAACTTTGTTTTAGATATATTTATATTTATATTATTATATATACAATTTCAATAAAATAACTTACGCAGAAAGGAATAGGCATTTTTGTCGCAATCGTGACTGAATTATCTAATTAAATTACGGACAAAACATGTTAAATACCAAAGTTTCGAACGTTATTTCTAAAATTACCAAATTTCTAAAAGTCTTCATTCGAAAATTTAAGCAGAATCAAATATTTATTTTATAAAAAAATAGTTATATCTCTAAACTAATATTATAATAAGAATAATGTCGTCTAGACCGAATTTCGATCACGGCGCCCACTCTCAATGGAGACTAACCATCAGTTGTCATACGGTCGACGGTCATACAGTGTTCATATGTATGTGCACAGGTGCACTCTCTATTCCTTCACTCTCATAGTATGATGTAATCTTACAAGACCAGAAGAGAGTTTTGGCGCAAAAACTACAGCTTTTCGTGCTTTCCAAGGCACAGCGGTGAAACATCAACTTTCTAACCCAGGCTGCTACTGAGAATTTCTTGAAAGAAAAACACAACACAATAGCCGAGTTTGGGCCGATCCGGAATTTTGACCCAGGAATTCATGATCAGCTACCGCGTCTACGACTACTAGACCAATGAAACAGTAAAACAAGTTATTATTTTGTGAACAAGTAGCCTTATCAAATATGCAATTCTGTGAAATATTATATACATATTAAGTAGCTATTGCAAAATTAATTAAAAATTCATGCGAATTATAAATTAAGACAATGACTAGTACGTGAACTAGAGCGTTGAACGAAGACCTGCGATTTATGTCGAAATAATACGACAGCATAGTATTGCTAATATTTGATTTTAAAAAATGCAGAATATCAAAACTAGACATTTAAGACTAGACTTAGGCAATAGTAGCCTCATTTTTGTCATCTACAGAAGTGAATTATATTATGATATAATTTCAATTATTTATTAAACTTTTGAAAATATAAAGCTAAACAATACTCCTTGCATTGGTTAAGACTATTTATTTTCTATGGCGTAATAATAAAGTTAATTACAAGCATGCACTACATAAGAATACAGGGTTACATTTGTCATCAACAGTTCTGCAATCTGGAACGATCTACAGCGGTCATGTTAAAAAGAATATTGTGACGTTGGCACAGAGTGCTACGAGAGTCCGCTTCATGACAACGTTGCCCAACCATTTCAAAATAAACTTGTGTCGATCTTGTCGTAAATTTTGTAGCCTAAGGAAAATTGCTGTAAAGCGGGTGCACTGAGGGAGGTGCGACGTGCAGTGAAACACACAAATATAAAAAAAGTATTTAATAATCACCAGCACTCACCTAAATCTATTTACATATAAATACAAAGTAGAAAAGGAATCAATAGGAGTGAAGCCGCGGACTGTACAGACGGCCGTCACTGGGTATGTGCGGGGGAGGGATTTGGGAAAGGAGTCGGATCGACTGCCGCAATGTTGGTGGACCTAAAAGAGCTTATTGCGGTGCACTCGAGTTAGCGTAAGCTTAGGAGGTTAGGAAATGTGTTCAAGATTCTTCTTCCGAAGAGTCGACGGTTTCAACACCGGTGGTGGCTCCGCCCCCGCCGCCAGATGAGGATCCCGACAGAGACGTCACAAGCGATAGGATGGAGCCCAACCCTGAGCCACCGGAGCTGTCCGAGCCCCCACCTTTTCCTGATAGCCCTCCTATCAGACCAGTCACGGCCTGCAGTTTAGGTCCGATAAATTGCAGTTTAGACCCGATGACCTGAGACACCACACCACCCAAGTGGTCCAAGCCACCCGAAGATGGTGCTTCGATGTGATATTTCTTGTTCAGTTCGATATTCTTTCGGTCCAGAGATTCCACGTAGCGTGTCTTCGCGTCGATCAGCGAATTGATTTTCTATAACAAAGACGGTGTTATACTTATCGTTTTGTCACGTATGCAGTTGAGCATGTGACTTCTTGCTCTGACTACTCACCCCGAAAACGAAACCGAGCACGGCGTTTTTGATACCGAACTTGGCCTCCGTCGCTCCTTCCAGCTTGCGCTTCTCGCGCGTCTGCTCGTCGTCGGCCGCGTCCTGCACACACACACATCGCCGTCACTACACAACTGCACTCACCGCTCACCAATACTCACACAATATCTACCACCACCGTTTCGATAGCTATAAGTACATTCAAACAAAATGCCATCAATCGTTTATCATTATAGCGAAAAACTTCGAAGACGTTAATAAGAAAACAATAATGTTAGTGTGCGCTTTGTGAAGCAGGCAAATTATGCAAGTAATGATTTATATAAACACTAGCCGAGCATTCTAACATGGCAGCACCTACAATGTTGCCTGTTAAAATGCTAATGTATTGATTAACTCATGGACGTGGTCTCGAAACTACATTGGTGTTTAGTGACTTACATGCAAAAATTTTTTGTACGTGCTTGAAAAGTGCTTCAGTTTAATCTAATTAAAACTTTTTTTTAAAGTATATTTTAAATTGGGTTGGCTTTCGTATTACTTTCATTACTTTACTCAAGGTTTATTTCTTAAGTCTGCAAATTGCGCTTCTACGAACGATGTTCTGTCAAATGGCAATTAACACTGGTCGTTGAACAATGAGAGGTCGCGTCGAGAGCCGTGTCAAAAGTCATGGCGAGCAAGTAACAGTTAATTTACTGAGCTCATTTGTCCTAGACTTAAATTTTATGTGTGAATATAAGGCCAATGTAATCACTAATATTATAAATTCAAAAACGTTTAGGTAATCGATAAACACACTTGATATTGAAAAGATTTAAAGGGTTACAACATGATAGATGCCAAAGGTCATTTCGCTTATATGCCATAAAAGTAAAAAGTCACTCAATTAACCTCTTTAGCTTGGTGTTCTGCTATAAAGTTGTACAAGTGCTGCTCAAGCTGGTAGCCGGAGCGTGTCGCAAGCGGCCTCCGCGCGTTGCCCAACCACCCGACCACGCGTCCATCACAACAACATGCATTATAAATGAAATCCGGCGTCCAACTGCGTATGTTGCTAACAAATTCATATATCTGCATAGCTTACAATAAATAATTAAAGACGCTACTGTTGTCTTACACGGAATAAAATTATTACGTGTAGAGTTGTTGGTTGTTAACTACTTAATTCTATAAAAAGTAAACCAAATCCTAACTTCTGAGAAAGATAAAGCACGGGAGAGTCCACCACGATACCTTAAATTAGCGGAAAAATATTAACTTATTTTTTTTTCATCTATTACAAAAATATGCAATACGACGGATAACTACAGTTTGTTCTCTATTTCAACCATATTTATTATTATTTAAAGTAATATGCCCTATTAGTGCCTCAACTCTGGTGGAATAATCATAAATGTAAAAAATATTTAAAAAAATGCATTCAAGTATTTTATTTAAAAGCTAACATAGTGTAAACCTTTTTAATTCCTTATTTGTCATATTGATATAATTTCAAGTTAAGAAGATGCTGATTAAGTAAATTTATTTCTAATTATTTTGATGCTGGCTGACATTTGATCATTTATTATTTATTAAAAATTGGTTTATATTGGAACCTGGCTGCGCATATTTATTTTCTACTCCTACGACACAATGAAAACAAAAGTATTCAAAAAATTCCATATTTACTTTACTATGTCTACTCTAAAGGATAAGGGCAAATAATTTCAAGGAAGTACCAGTGCATGTGCAAATAGTACTAAAGTTTTGCACATATGTCGATGACTTGTATGAAGATGTATGATGCTACAAATTGAAACATGTGCTATGCAATGATTCATCGAACACTTTTGGAAAAATAATTATACTGGGTGATTTAATAAATAATAAAATATTGTGATAAAATAGTGAATTACTCGTTATAAAACATTATTCTAATGGCCCATTATAATGATAACAGAAGTTAATGTCCTTACACGTTATTAATATACTTCGCAAAATTTGGTCTAAGTAAATAGGATCCATAATGGTTTGAATCCCTAGAAATGAGTTGATCGGAATTATAATGATTCTAAATATTTTATTAATTAATTGTTTAACGTATAATTCTATTACAAAAAGTACTGCTGGGTATTCTTGCTAGATCTTGCCAGGACAGAGGCTTTCCGAACACTAGTTCAATCAAAGATAAATGGTACTCCTAAAGATATAAATGACTTTAATAAGAATTATTTTTTATATACTTTTATTAAAATATAATAATAAAAATATTGTTTTACATTCTACTCAATTGTAATTTCAACTAGAATTAACATATAAATGTAAAACACAAATCGTTCTCATACAGCTGGTTGTGTTGTATTGGTCTTTGAGACTGCCTGCTAGCTTACGTCGGGCACTGGTTGGTAAGAACGTGTAAGTTGCTTAGTTATTATATTACTTGCACTTCCGGCACTATGATATCTACCGCACAGTCGATAGTTTCCGACACAACTGTAAGATGACCGCGATCGAAATCGGACAAGATAATATTTTAATGTATACGTGGTAGAGCTACGTTAAAATCATTAGTCCTTATTTGTTCTTATTTTAAAAAAGTTACCTCTACAATAGGAATCTAGTATCTCTTGTGAGGGGGGGGGGGGCAGTTTACATACATAAATTTCCCAAAGCTATACATCCAGACTTGGAATAATTGTTTGTCGGTCGTACAAATATTTGTTCCGTGCGGGATTCCAACCCGTGGCCTTCGGTGCAACTTACTGCTAAGCCACCACGGAGTCAAAATATCGACAAAAAGTATATAGTTACATAATAAAATTAAATCATATTTTATATTCTTTGAATCATACCAGCAATGACCCACACGTACACAAAACTATTGTGTAAGAACGCGCCATACATACAAACATGCGATTATTTTCAATTTCAACGTTGAAAAATAATAAGAATATAAAGTAAGTTGACTTTATTGGGCCTTATTGGATCAGTTCGTAAACGCAATTTCCGATCATGAGGGTCCGGGTTCGAGGCCCGGGTTCGAATCCCGGGCTGGACCAAAGTTAGTTATTAGGTTTTCTGTAACAAAATCCTCAGTCGCAGCCCAAAGTCAGAAAGTTAGTGATGTTTAGGCACATAAGCTGTTGGTTTTGCGCCTGATCTCTCTCCAGTTGCGTTGGATAGCCGTCCCATCGGACTATGAGAGAAGGAATGGAGAGTGCAACTGTGCTTGCGCACACTCGGGCACTAAAACCGCAGGAGCGCAGATGGCTAGTTTCCTTTAAGACTGTGGGCACCGTGACCGAAATTCGGTCTGGATGACATTACTATAAAATAAGTCGTAAAGATAAGTTTAAGCGATGTTACGGTTTGCATCGTGTGTGATTTTAATTATGACTTAAGTATTTAAATAGAATGGAATAATTAGTTTTACTTCATAGATTATTACATAATACTTTTTGAAAGTCATTTTTTTATTTACCACTAATGCAGAAAGTACCTCTGTCCTGGAAAGAAGAGAATCAGCAAGAAATACAGCGGGATTATTTTTGGACATATTATATATTTTTATATGAATCATAATAGAACCAGAAAGGTAACGATCACCTCATTCCCAGGGGTTATTATCATTTATGTGTTTATTTCTTAATATTATAATGAATCTTTCTATACAGTTTTTCGTTAGTACAATGTTTAAACTTGTTTATTGACAAACTTTCAACATTTTCTAAGATATTGTTGCAAAAGCGTATACATTGCACCATAAAAAAATTACTAATTCAGTAGAATCAGTAGCTGGCAATACAAGTTTGTGTTTATTGTTATTATTTAAAGTATGAACATATTTGTTATTATCAAAGCTATTCATGATTTTAATTATTTATTTATAATTTATTATAAAACACCTTTAATGAAAAGGATTGCAAAGGGCGGACTGAATGCAACTACGTTTCCATGAACACATTGCGATGCAAAAGAAAATAACATTTTTATCTTGAATTTTTGTCTGAGGGACTCTTTAAAATTTAATTTATAAACTTATCTGGAGTTAGCATGGTGTAACTAATGACATTAAAGCATTGAATACCTCACCTACCTTTTTATGACTATGTAATCTGCACCATATTAATTTAATTAAAATTAAGCGGTGAAGGAAAACATCGTAAGGTAACCTGCAGGTTTGAGGAATAAGAAAAAATAATGTTTTGAATACATGTGAAGTTCGCCAACACGCATTGGGACAGCACGGCGAACAATTCCTTGCCCTAAAACCCTCCCAGAAATGAGGTGAGGCCTATGCCCGGGATTGGGACGTACTCGTATATAGGCTGTTAGTTTAACTTTAAGCGTGATAAAGTCTGTTAAATATTTTAGTGCATAGTATTAGCGTAAATATAAGAAAACGTATTGGGAATAATAATTATATTTCTCATTAATATTGGAAAGCGAAACATTTTGTTAAGTTTAATGTTAACTCATTAAACAATTTTCTTACTTAAAATAATATGGTAAAACTACACTCAAAGTAGAGCAGAATTATTCTTATCATCAATAGAGGATATAGAATAAAAGTGAAAGCAAGTTCTGAACTGTATTCAAATATCTATATTTTTCACTGTTCTTTATAAACCTACTGTTGGGTCTAAAGTTCATATGAATATATCGTGTTATTTGACATTTCTGTGAGTGGCAAATACGAGCATACTAAGTAAAGCTAGGTGCAGGTGCGGCCGGGTGTCGCCGTAGGGTCGAGGCCGTCGACTGTGCCTGCGACGTGCGCACCGGCCGCTGTCTCCGTCACCCGCGAGACATGTCCTCCTTTCTCGCTAGCGAGAACGTACTGAGCAAAGCTCATCGGTAGTGCGATGTAGCGCACGTGACATAACCGCTCGGTACATTAGATAAGTGTCGGTTTATGTGGGTCACCAGTGCGGTGTAAAATTATCAATCGAACCATTATTTTTCTCACAATAAGTACTCGACTTGACAAGAAGTAGGCATAGAGAGTTCGAGAATCAACGAAAAAGTGAGACAAAGCGGCGCGATTCCCAGCGTGTTAAGTAACACCCGGCGCTGCCAGTACTTCGGCAAAGCACGTGTCAACGCATTCGTTACGTCTTTTAAAATTTGCTCTTAGCTCTTAGCTTATATAAATGAAAATGAATTAAAAAACTGTGCATTCTTCGTCAATTTCGCCAATCGATTCTTTTTTGTATTTGTATATATTGAGGCGTATGGCCTTGCAAACAGAAACAGAAACAGAAACTTTTTTATTCAATGTAGATTATAACAATACTTATTGAAAGTCACTTTTTTCATTTACCACTGGTTGGCAAAAAAACCTCAATCCTGGGAAGAACCAGCAAGAAAACCAGTGGGGCTATTTTTTTCCAATAATAGCTTACAATTATGTTTACAATAAACAACACAAGACAAATTAGAAATAGCTTGGTAGCGATCACCCTTCCCAGGGGTTATTATCATCCATAAATTTCTTAATATTATAATAACCCTTTTTATACAAACTTAGTTTAATGACATTTTTGAACTTCGTGTATGACAAATTTTGTATAGTTTCTGGGATTTTGTTGTAAAAGCGTATACATCGCCCCAAGAATGAATTACTAACTCGGTGGAGTCGAGTAACTGGTACTACTAGCTTGTGTCTGTTCCTAATATTTACAGAATGAATATCACTTATTTTCGCAAAACTGATTTTATTTTTGTGTACGTACTCTCAATACATTTTCATAAATGTATTGAGAGACCAGAGTTAATATATTAATTTCCTTAAATTTTTGTCTCAGTGACTCTTTTGGTTTTAAATTATATATTGTTCTAATGGCCCTCTTCTGTAAAATAAGTATAATTTCAGTGTCAGTCGCGTGTCCCCATAGCAAAATACCATACGACATAATGCTATGGAAATAACTAAAGTAAACTATTCTAGCTGTTTCAACACTGGTAAGAGTTCTAATCTTTTTTTACTGCTTATGCTGCAGAACTAAGTCTGCTAGCTAGTTTTGATATATGGGGGAGCCATTGAAGCTTTGCGTCCAGTGTGATTCCAAGCAAAATGGTGGTATCAACAAGACTCAGTTCCTCCCCATTTAAAATTACATTAGTATTGACGTGTTTAACATTAGGAGTTACAAATTTCAGTTTTAGTTCCATTTAAATGTAAATTATTAACATTAAACCAATTGACTAACTTAGCTATAGCATTATTTACTTCGTCGTAACTTGCATCTGCCTATATTATTATTTATAATAATTACTACAACTAATTACTAATTACTCAGGGAAGATACAGACGGATGAAACTGAAATTTTATGTATGACATTTGGATTTCATTAATCTTCGATAGGGAAAAAATGCAGATAACAGGAGTCCTATTCTTGTAGAGAGGGTTTTAAAAAAAATCACATAGATTCACTAATTAAATAATTGTCAAAAAGTAAAATTTCTGTAGTGATCTTTTTAATTTAATGTGGCAACAAACACTCGTATACAAATTAAAATAGATAAACACAATTTTTTAATATGTGTACCTCTTGGGTGTCGTAAGAGTCGAATAAAAAAGATATCAAGGCCTACGATGAAAAACTTCAAGATTAACGTCAGAGTAAAATTAATGTTGTGGGACATCTATGAGTACTGCGATTCATCTCGTAGTACCAATCTAACTGCTTATATTGGCGTATATTAGCTGCACAAAGGAGTCCATTGTAACATTTCGACATGTAGATGAAAATCTTCTGTAGAAAGTGACAGTAATTTGTTTATATTAAACTCTACGAAAATATTTACTATTTCATAAATAATCAGCAATAACAAATTTAAGAAACAAAGAATTATTAAACATATTCACAAAACAAATAGAGTGTTTCATTCATATATTTTTTATTTTAAAAAACGTTACCCTCACATTAGAACTTTCTCCTGTATCGTGGAAGCAGTTTAAATACATAAATTTCACAAGAAAAATATCCACACCTGAAACAATTATTCGTAGACTATACAAAAACTTGTTCCGTGCGGGATTAGAACCCGCAACACTCAGCGCCTTTTGTCATAGCTAAGCGACTGCACCACGGAGAAGTCTAAATGGAAAAGAATATGGATTAAGGAGCACGTTTTATGGCTATGTTTAGAACAGTAGCTATTTAGAACTGGACTCGTGTTGTTCTGTAATATGCTGTCGACGGGTTTCAAACCCGCAGATTCTGACCAAACTTAATAGTTTTAAATATCGTTAAAATGCCACGACTACAGTTTGTTTCCCGTCTGAAGAAAACAAAATCGGCGTTATTTTTATTTTTTTTTTTCTTACAGTGTGAATATTTAAGCTACCGTGTGACTTACGAGATCTTATTATGACTTCGTCTTATGGTTATAAAAGTAATTTAAGAATATTCCAGCAATGTCGCAACCGTGTTCATTGTCAGTGATCCAGTACTGAGACCGACTTGTGGTGTACAAGCCAAGCGTGAATTTTATGGCGAAGCCGAACCTAGAATCTTATCTCAAGCAGTAGACTGTTATTATAGACTGATTTGATGAAAATAAAATAATTAAGGAAGGAAGTTACGCAGTATTGTATAAAACAATTTATTTGTATCGTTTACGCTGACTTTGTAAACAATCACCTAAGAGTGTTTCATGATTTATTAACATGGTTAAACAAAGTACGTAAAGTTGTGAGTGTTATAACACAGTAAGATAACTTTATTTTGTACATTTTCTACTCATTTAAAATAATTCATCATATCATTACTGCCTACCAAAACTCACTGCCGAACAATGGCCTCCTTCACAAATTGCCTCATAAGGGAGTACTTTGCTATAGGTTGGTAACCACAGCTTTTGAATTATTTTGAGTTGCTATAAGGAACATGCCGTTGTCTAACTCCTGATTCCCTGGTCACCTCTGTCGGCACTTGTGACACGCACGAGATGATATAGGACAATTAATTATTTTACGACATCACATACGGTCAAATTGAAATAAATATGTATTATTAATAACTGAATAATTTTAACCATATAAAATAAATATAATAATTCCCAAGCTTTAGCCTCAATTGCGTAACCATAAAAATGAGAAAACGCGAAGACTAGAAATGAAATAAGTTATATCGACTCTTTATCATAATATTCTAAGAATTTTAAAGAAGGTAAATTTTCGACAAGATATACTTAATAATATTAAATGTTATAACAGTAATTAAAATGATCCGGCTTCTTAAAAAAGTTTACTGACAGGAGAAAATTTTTATACCTTACCTCTCCACAACTAAGTCTCTTAACATATTATAACGATACGCTATATGTTATACGATATATTATAAAATTACAATTGGCAAAATTTGAACAGCATAATAAACGAAAGTCGTATTTGTAAAGAAGTCTGTATGTGAAACAATGGACAGTACGCGGACAGCTGAGCGCGCGTTACTTAATGCCGCGTTAGATAATTGGCGCAGGGCTCACTGGCGCGGTGAAAGCACTCCGGGCGCATCCGACCCGCACGGACTCAGCACCGATGCAGCTCTCATTATTCAGGAATATACAAGATTGTAGCGTTAATAGAAATGGGAATCGTTTTATTGGAAGTCAGTTCATTTTCCCAGTGTCAGTCCCTATTTTCGTTCAAAAATCTACTCAATGCTTATTACTTGGAGCTCTAATATTTCCCGTCATAATACCCTTCCTTAATTGTATTTGTCATACATATCCTTAACTGTCGTTATCTTATGTTTTTTTTTAATTTAATTTGTTAATTTATGCACACCTTCCCTATTCGTTGTAAACAACAATTCAGTTCGTTGCACAAAAGGGTTGTCTGGAAGAAATCGCTTCCAGAGCGATAAGACTGCCTACGGTACCTTACATATATATATATTGTTTCATTTTAATGTTTATTGGTGTACAATAATAAATATATTGATTGAATAATTAATTGGAATGATTGTTTGTATGATGTGTGGCGAGTGAGTACAGTGTACAGCTGAGGCAGGCGGCATGAGCGAGGCGGGGTGCGGCGAGGCTGGCGGGTGTCAGTGGAGTCCACTGCATTATTTTCCAATGTAAACACGTATAACATTTGAATTATCAGGCGATTTCGAAAATATTACAGCTGACTGAATTATATCTGGCACCCAAATATTACATAAATTGAATTTTTATTCAATTTATGTAATATTTGGATTTACAATATTTTTATTGTAATTTTAAAATGCTCATTAAAAGTCATCATCAGAAATTTAAAGAATAAAATAAGTATGTACAGAAAAGTTTTTTCATGAACACCGGCGTGTGTAAACGCGGACAAGTATGGCACGCTAGTTACAATGCGTTAAAATGCGATTACATCAGTAATGAATGATAAAGCGAGAAATGTCGAAAGATGAAACCAAATGCCCGCAGCTAGTTCTGGTAATACTTACATCTAGCGGCTGCAGTGCGTTCTCGTCGACGAGCTGGCGGCGCACCCGTGGTGCCGCGGCGGCAGGCGACAGTGTGGCCACGAACAACGCGGCGAGCAGAGCGGCGAGCGTAAGCGAGAGCGGGCGTGCGGCAGCCATGGCGTCGATGTGAGCACTGAACACCGGCCGCTAGACCCTACACGCCGACCAGAGCTCGCTTTGGTGGGGGCCACCACTCGCCGCTCCACTCCAACATTCGCCCACTAACCTCTAGCAATACGTGTGATAATGCGCCTTAAAATGCAGTTATTACTACCACACCAAAAATATTGTCTGCCTTAAAATCCTCGTCAGTAAAATGCTCTTTTGTTTGTTCAGCTTCTTTCTTTCAGTCCTAAGTCCGTGACCCAGGGAATGTATTATTTGAAATTTGAATTAGAATGAATATATTAAAGTAAGGCTAAAGCGAATTTTATATATTTAAATTTTCATATCTTATAATAAACTCTAAATAATGAAAACGGTTTACATAGCGTGGTTTGACATAATACAGATATATAAGACATAATACAACAAGCTAGCTTCTCGTTTTTTTTTTCATAACATAATTTAAACTCACGCTCTTTTGTAATTATATTAGAACATTGAATAAAATTAATTGTATTGTTATTATGACCAAGTTTTTATCAAGTCACTTTCTTGTTTCACTGCCCTTCCGGGTGGAATTTAGTAATTGATTTCAAACTTACCGATGAGCTGGATACTTGAAACTTTGAATATAGCTCAAATTCGGGTGACAATGCAAGAATATTATAACGAAACGTGGTACTATTAAAAAAATCACTTGTTATAAACTCGTTCTAGTGTATTCCTTCCATATGAGCTAGAGACTTGAAATTTTGAACATAGCTTACAATTGAATGACAATGTTAAAAGTTAAAGTTACAACCTACATACGTCCCACTGCTGGGCACAGGCCTCCTCTCGTTTCTGAAAGGGATGACAATGTAAGACTATAAGGAAAAAACGTATGTAGTAAAAAATTAATCACAGACTATTGTTACAGATGATTGTCGCACACAAGGTAACTCATTCTCGTTGTTTCGGGTGCTTAGCAGCCCTCATAGTCACGGAGAACTGAAGAGTTTGCCCAGGCGTCCTAGTCAACCCAGGCTACCGTCAGTATTTAAATATTAATCTTGGTCCAATCTACGCAAAATAAGCTTCAAATTATTCTGAATTTGCAGTGAAATTTTGCTAATTTTATGAGATCCCAAACAGATGGCACCCGCCCATCTCCACTATAGAAATTAGGGTGTTTTTTTATTTCAATAACGAATCTGTGTTCTTTTGCAGAATTTTGTAGTTTGTCACACCTGATGTGAAACCGAAGAAAATTAATTGATTTGGCCATTTAAATTGGTTCACTTGGTCTGTAATATTCAATAAGTCCTGCCATGCTGCAGCTATATTATGGATTTTAATCAGGAATGGGTTGGCTCGACTGGGAAAGGACCAGGCTGTTACAGAATACCAACAAAAATAGCAGCTTAACGCTGCTGTATTTTATATGGTGAAAGCAGAGAACCGGAGAAAGTTCTTACTGGAAATGCGGCATACCATCTTAGTCCTCAAGGGTGACAAAGCATCAGCAATTTGATTACTAATTGAAGATAGATGTGGATTTCTATGGGTCACAGCAATTATTTACTATCGGGTGGACTATGCGCTAGATTGTCATTCATATTTTATAAAAAAAATTCAACCAATTCAAATTAGCAGTCTTTCTTACTTTGCACGTAGCAAATGGTAAGACTTTCCTATCTTGGGCAACTTATTGCCATAGATTAATAACACATACTTTTTTTCCTCGCACGACTTCTCTCTGCAAGCAGTTACCACCAGTAGTTTTTTGGACCCATATTATTTAGGGACTTTCAAGAAAACAACCTTCTTTAAACGCCAGCAATTCACCTGAAATGAAATTCGCGTTTCATTTGTTCATAGGCGATAGTCATTTACTATCATGTGAGCCACATACTCATTTGCGTCACTATTTTATTCGTTCCCAACTACCAAAATCCATTGTTCTTATCTGATTTGAAGGGTAGGAAAGCAAGTATAATTACAGGTGTGTAGGCGTGCCATCTTAGGCTTCATAGGTGACAATGCATTTGTGATCTTCTTCGTTTGAATTTATTTGCAAAAATGTTCATGTAACCACTAACCGTCAGGTATACAGCTAAAGTTGTAGCCTATGTACCTCCCACTTCTGGGCACAGGCCTCCGCTCATTTCTGAGAGGGTTTTAGGGCAAGTAATTATCCACCGCGCTGCCCCAATGCGTGTTGGCGAACTTCACATGTCTTAATATTATAAATTCTGAAATATTTTTTTCCTATTTCTCACACATGCAGGTTTGTATGTGTGAGATGATCCTCACGATGTTTTCCGTCACCGCCGAGCACGTGGTAAATGAACACTTAAAATTGTAATTAACAATTTCATTGTTGCCGGCGGGGATCGAACCAGGTTTGAAATTTACAACGTACTGTGAAATTTACAGCGAGCGCTAACCATCTGAGCTACCACGGCTCTTTCCGGTATACACTTAGCTGGTGTGTAATTCCAATATTAAAAATATATATGAAGTATTTAACTTTAATTAATTTACATAGTTCGTAGTTAAGCGCTTATGAATTAATTGTAATGTAACTATATAACAATTGCAGTCAGTAATTACGTCATTATACTCTTAATTATGTAATTTCGTTATACACGTGGCAGTGCCACGCTAAAACAGGTGAGCCAAAGGACCAAGCTCGTAAAATAAGTTCGTAAAATAGCGTCATTGTATCGCTACGTTACATAAGTTTAGCGACGAGGGACTATTACTGGTGACAACTCATCGTCTGTGAATAATAGCATCCACTTATTACCAGGTGGACGGTTGCTTGTTCGACATTATTACTTTTATAATAATATTAGTCACGCCTATAAGCTATAAAGATGTCATTATTATTTAATATTACTATTTTTATTAGCTGTATTTAATAATGTTCCATTAAAATTATGACGTCATAAATAAAGAAAAAATGAATATCGTTCATTGGATACACGCATGAATTTCAATTTATTGCTGTTGATGCAAAAATTAAAAACGAAATATTCCTATAACGTCCTAAAACTTCAAAAATAAATTTCAGAATCATTTCAAAAATTTAATTATGATATTATTAATAGTAAATATGCGTAGTGTTGAGGCGATAAGGCCCGCTTTACAATATCGTACGCGAGAAAATCAATTTCAAATCCCTATCAGCAGTGCTTACTTACCGCCCAACGCCTGCGGCGGAAAACATCTTGACTGACGGATCACCAAATGTATTTAGCCTTTTTACTTTACTCTCCGCCGCTGGTCTAATATTTTACATCTTGTTTACACGACGGTGCCACGTGTAGTGACGGTACACGAACATCCGCTACCGCCATGACATCCCGTGGATGTCTTCAGAGACAACAGGGGAAGAATCAAGAGATGAGTAGCAGCGTCTTCATAATCATCAGTATTAATAATAAAGGGCTGTAATGATGATAATAATTTATAATCATCATTACAGCCCTTCACAAGTCCACCTTTTAACACCGGCATCTCCCAAGAAACGCCACAAAACACGGTCCTGAGCCACTTGCATCCATCAACTTCCTGCATGTCTTGCTCTATATAGTGAGAAAACGCCCTACATTTCATCTGCTGATACGAGGCGGCCAATAGAAAACCTTTCCTCCCCATCGGTTGTCGGTACTACGAGCTAAAGGGCTGGCAAATTGCCACTTCAGTTTAATAATTCGTTAGACTATGTCAGTTACTCTGGTTCTTTTTTATATAATAGAGGTGACAAGCCAGCACACAGTCCACCTGATTGTAAGTGGATGCTGTGGCTCATAAACATTTACATTTATCCTCAATTAAGAATCAAAACGCAGATACGTTGTCACCCCTGACGACTAAGATGGAATGCCTCATTTTCAGTAAAAGCGGGTCTCCGGTCCAGAGCTTCGCCCTTCCCCGGTCTACCCCGGTATGGCTCTACCACGTATGAAAACTGCGGTTCTACTGCGGATATCTTCGTTTTTAAGTCTGTCACGCAGAGAAACCTCGAGCATAGCCCTCTTCACAGGTCGCTGAGCGATTTTGAGCTTCTTCATACGACCAGCAGTGAAAGACCAAGTCCCAGGTCCATAGGTCATCACTGGCATATGAGATGACACTGGCTATGGTATGCTTGATGAGAGGATGTGTCATAATATTATGAAAATAGATAACGTCTGAAAGGAAACCGCGGTTGCCAACCGGCTTGCCAAGCATGACAACTATGGCAAATATCTCCCTTAATCTATACGAGAAGTTTATCTTCAGCAGTGGCTTTTAATAGGCTGTAACGGTAACGGTACACGATATGGTAACACTGTAGGTACGTACGGTGGTAGAAGGTAGGGTAGCGCAGCATTTCTGCTACGGAAGAGACCTATGTCCTGCAGTAGACTGTTAAACATTCATGAAGAATAAAGAAGGAGATAAAGCAAGGGGCACGTTCGTTTTTCGTTAAGTGGTTTTCAATACTTCCAGTCAAGGGTTGTATTTCATTCATTCTAATACAGTCTACCCAAAAACCAATGCTGAACTTAGGTTTCTGCCATAGACTGCCTCATAGGGGACGAGGCATTGCCTTCGTTATCACATTTAGTAGACGGGTTAGCAACTACATCTTCTTGTTTTCTTGTTGTTATTAGGAAAATGCTGCTGCTTTGCTTTCCTCCATTTCGCAACCGAATATTTTTTTATTATTCTGCTTCTTCGCCGTCCTATAAAACCAAAACTAGGAGAAGGACAGAGAAAATAAACACAAAGTCGTATGCTATATATATAGCATATTAAAAAAATATAGTATATTAAGAAAAAATAGAAAACAAGCTTTGGCAATAATTAGGAACACTTTAAAAATGAACTGGAAAAAGAACTAACTACACTAGACAATACTAAAATTGACAATAATATTTACCTATTATAATGTCAACTGCCAAAACAGCGTCGATAAAGCAGCGCCCTTTTGACCCTTTATTATCTGATTGACTGATGAAGAGCTATCTTATCACAGA